AATACGCAGGGGGGCCACGGGGGGCGGCGCCCGAGGGGCCGCCGTCGAGACGGCTATGCGCCCCCCCCGTGGTGGCACCGCGGCGCCAAACGGAGGAGCCGCTGAGATTAAGCCCTGCGTGGGTGGATTCGTGGATCGGGTCGACCTGAATAAGATGCCCGACCCGGAGAATTCGGACGGTGACTGCGAGTGGGAGACGAATTAGTGAGAGAGAGAGAGAGAGAGAGATAGAGAGATAGGGAGACTATCTTAATCTTAATCTCTTTGTTTCTGAAATTGAGGGGTGGCTTTGCTAACATGCGCAGGGGAGGTATGTGACGGCTGAAGCAATGATGAAGCTTTCGTCCTGGTCCTGGATTAGAGAATTAGATTAGCCTACTGTATCCGTTTTTTTTCTATCCTTTTTCTTTTCTTTTCCTTTTTGTTCAGAAAGATTTTTGCGTTTTGATGGAGAAATTTTGGCCCTTACGAAAACGTGATATAAGATGTAAATTATGCTAGAAAATTAGCTAATTTTCCCCTTTTGCTATGTATTTATTCCTTTATTTTAATTTTAATTTGTTCCTCCTAGTTGGAACTTGGTGGGTGAGAGAGATATAGCTTCCAAGTGGTATTTTGGTAGGGAACTGGTGATGGGAACTTTGATGGAACAGAGCAAAAATGGAATTGGTAAAAAGGAAAAGAGAGAGAGAGAGAGAGAGAGAGAAGTTGAGAAGAGGGGAGCAGAAAGGGCCTACAGGAAGGGGGAGACAGAGGGGGCCAGGGCTAACCACTAAAGCTATAACTACTACTGGAGAAAAAAGCAATTCAGATTTCAGAGTTAGGTATTTCCTGGTTCTCACCACTGTAGCTGATTCATTGATTGTGAATTATATGGGTGGGATTATCAATTTCAATTATATGGGATGGGTATGAGTGGTGGTGCACCGGTGGTGGTGATGTGGTAGGGTTTTGGTTTTGGTGGGACGGAGGGGAAAGAGGGGCAAATTGGGTGCATGATTGTGATTTGATGGTTGTGCATAGTGTGCCCTTTATCGGTTTTGTCCCCCTAGCTAATGCCTCTCTCATCATCAGTCTCAGATTCTATTTCTGGTCAAATGACACTATTGCCATGTCTTGCTCTATCCATCTGTGCTCCTGGACAAGGAAAATTAGATTTAGCAGATAGATTTTAAGAGCCATAAACACTCTGATTTTGGCTGGTGCAAATTATGGATTAGCTGTAACCCATGTTTTTGGTTTAATTTAACCATTTCCATGCAACTTTCCACTAAACGGCAACGATTAATCCACGATTAGCGGAGAATCGGGTATATCTTACCATGCTAATGTGAGTTGTTAATTATTTTTTAAAAAGTTGCTCATATCTCAATGATGTAGATGTTCTAGGTTAGCTGTTGAAGAAGACTAAATCTACATGCACCGTAGTTCAAATTTTCTCCAATGGATGACCTTGTTGATTTGATTGATTGTAGTTCCACATGTTCTTTTCATCATGCGTATCAAATGGAAAATCTTTTAAATCCAATGAGGCAATCATTTTGACTATCATACATTTTCTATTCTTTTTTAAACGCACAAATGCGCAACAATAATAGAAGTCCAATAAAGAAAGATAAAGTCTACAACCTCCCCAATTCAACCATTTGTTCAACAACTAGTGCGGAAAATTTGGCAATCATGAAACCAATCCAATGGCCGCTTCAGTTCAACAAACGCAGGACAGCATATAGACTAAAGAGAAATGATACACATGTGCGCATTGTGTGTGGTTGTCAACAGTTGATGGGTTTCGAGACGAATTTCCATCAATGGCTAACCACTCAACTGTTTCTTTTCCTCTCCCTTCTCAGGGACAAGCATGGATGGTCCATAAACCCTTAATCCTGGTAGGTTTCTGTGTTATTCATAATTAATACAACCTCATTGCTGTTTTACACAAACACCATGTCAAAATTGTGCCTATAAAGAAGACCAGCTCCTCCAACATCTTCTATGATTGCACCATAAACATCTGGAATGAAAGTTGATCCTTATGTGTTTGGCTGTAATGTTTTCGATTCACTAGCATGTTTTATTTGAAGGGCAGCTCTTATGATGTTTCCTCTTGTAATAATTCCTACCTTTATAGCGAAAACAGTGGCATATCAGAGATACAGAAAGAGTATTATGGCGACAGCGAAAGAGAGATCAAGAGAAAATAATGCATCTCTTACCAGCTTACCGTTGTCATCTACAACTGGAAGTCTGCGATATTTTGTCTTGAGCAATAATCTGACATCAGATAACAAAAATGAATCCTTTCCAGCTAGACCGATAATAGGATGCAGAAATGGGAAAAAGTAGAGCAGGAAAACAAAACCTAGCAACATCCTCAAGATTAGTGGTTTCACTAACAACGACTGGGGCTGGTGTCATCAAATCACCGACCACCTGCCCATTGGTTTTACTGAGCAAGTTCTGTACCTCGTTGAAAGTCTGCAACCATATCAATTAAAGAAGCATTTTTGTAAGGCAAATTATTCGTTGCAGAAATAGGAAAGTACTGGTCAGACTTCATTGAAGCTATCTTCGCAGGGAAGTAATTTCAAATGCTATGGAGCCAAAAGCATTATGCCTCTTCATATCAATGGCCTCTCTTGGGATATACAAGAAAAATATAAGTGTAATAAAACTCTTAAACCACCCTCCAATTTACCCCCATTACTGAGATCTTTTGTTAAGTAGAATAAAAACAATATAAACAGATGCAGACAAACATCAAGAACAGTAAAGGATGAATGTATTTAAAGAAAATTTGTCACATACTTTCCAAGAGCTGTCCACTTCTGGAAACATGCTGTTGTCAGTTCTTCCTTGACCTATCAGGTGAAATATTTGGACGGTTGTATTATGTAAGAGATGACCATCTTGATCATTGTGCACAGAAAATCACACAGTTCTGTTTGAGATCATAGCACCTCACCATACAGAAAGGAGTATATCCATAGCCAAACACATCATTTGTAACCAATTCTATCTATATTAACTTAAATTGAACTGATTTCCAATTCATTTCATTTGTTCGAAACTAAACTGAATAACTAAGTTGAATTCACTTATACCGAACAAAACAATAGAAGAAACAAATGAATATAGTCCTAATAAAATTACACTTCTTTAACCAGATAACTGTTACGCACTGTCACTGTTGTAATATGCAAAAATTGCAAGAGACTGGAAGTATTTGATTTACGTCTCCAGACACAACTAACAAATATTAAAACAAACAAAAATTTTAAAAAAGGTTATTTATTTATTTATTTTTTCTTTCTATATTTGAAAAAAACATGATAGTCCATCAAACAAAGTCCCAACGTCACTAGCCCAAAAAGGAGAATACAGACAGACATCAGGGTCATCTATTCAAAATTCGTATGCCACACCAAGAGAAATAGGAGGATAGTGATTGAATGACTAAAGACCAATCTGGTGTTCTCTTATGTCTTTAACATACGCATTAATGTAAGTTAAAACCATTTGGTTTCAATGAGAAAAATGGGTAGATGAGTGATTGAAGGCCAGAGAGAGAGAGAGAGAGAGGGGGGGGGGGGGGGGGGGGACAGAGATCTCTTTGAATAATGAAAAAACTGGGAGGGCAGCAGTGGAGAAACTAGAAGGGGATGCAGGGATCTCGTTAGAATGAGAAAAAGGGTCACAACAGATGAATGGAACCATGAGAAAATCCAATCTACTTTGGTCAGACTGGAACCTGTATGGAAATCCGAATATTTCCCCACCAAAAAAATTCGAATTCTAAGGGCATACCTATATAACTCAGTTGCAACTGAACTGAAGTAGTGAATTCCTTATTCTGCAGAGGTTCCAAACAGGATGTGAAAGAAATTCAACTATTCCAGACAATCATACTTATAAAACTCCTCAAACTACCCGGCCCATTTTATGTAGTTTATCCTTCTTCTTTTTTTCTTAAAAAAAATGATAGGGAAACAATAACATTTTGACCTTTTTGTAAGGGATGTGAATTACTATGTGATCCTTGCCCGACACTTTGACACCTCTTTTTTCTCAATGATAAAACTAAATACTCTGCTAGCCAAAGTGAGTACACTATGATCTGCGCTTATGTTTCTTTATGTTAAGCTTAGCTGTAACCCCAAATATTTGGGTTACGTTGTTACATGGATTCCAATCACATACTTACCAGGTTTCACACAGAAATTTTCAAATTCCATTTAATATTAATCCTACATAGAGCTATATCCTTCACTAAATCTCTTGTGGACATATCCTTCCTAATCAATTCCACCAATGCCATTCTTGGTATCCATCTACTGTTCAATTCTCCTCCTTGAATCGCCTTATTCTTTCACAGAGTACATTTGTATCTTCACATTGTATATGACCAGAAAATCAGAAATTCCCTCATTTTATCATCAATCGAAGCTACCCCCTACCTCAGAATGAATATCCTCATCCACCTCAACGTCCTCATCTACTTTAATTGGATGTAAAATAATGTCAAATGTTTACAAAAAATAAAATAATATATACTAACATGCATATCAGCCAAAATAATGCATGTCAAACAAACTGAGCTTACAAGATTCAGATCACCCTTTTTCAAGTGGTGGCCCAGCTATCAAGTAAATGATACATAGATATGATCATAAATCAAATGAAGATGAAAATGAGAGAAAACACCATGAAATCTATTAGAGATAACTTGAATGAAAAGGCAAAATTTGATAAACCAAAAATAAAAAAATAAAAAATCTAAGATATAATTTTACATATTAAATTACCTGATATGGTGTCCAATGCTAATAAGTCATAATCTGAAACAAGACCGACCTGCATCAAAAAAGTACCACTGTATATTAGTTGCTCAACCATATAAGCACAAATCAAGAAACAGATATTGACTAAACAAAGAGGATGGTCACAACTTCTCAGATAAAGAAAGACGTTTTTGTTTCTATAACATTAACATGAGAAAACGCAGGAATGTTTGCTTGAATGCTGGCCGCATGCATACACTATTATACTGAGAATATTGCAGATACGTTTCAAAACGAACAAAGCAGGTGTGTGAATTCTTGATGCTTGAGGTCATAACAAAATCCTGAACCAACCAGAGGGAGGAGAACAATGCTCCACGAGAAAAAATTTCCTGGTCCATTCACCATTCCAATGTGAATACACAATCCTCACTTACAATCAGAATGACATAATGTACCTTAAGTAAGACAATACTTTTTTCTTATTCTTTTTGGTTTACAAGTAAGACAAGACTTTGATAAATAAGTTCAAACATCGCAAATTGGAAATCATTTGTAAAGTCTGGTACTGAAATTTGAAAGAGAATGCATGGAAACACAAAGTGTTGGAGAAAAAAGGGAGATGAAAAGTGAAGACCTACCAATTTCCAGTCGTCGTCGATCACTGGAAAACCAGTGATTCTGTTTTCTACAAGAAGTTCTATAGCTGTAGGCATAAAAGCTAATTCCATCAGAAAATGAAAAATCTACAAAACTGCACTAATAAGCTTCACCTCATACAACAAATAGTACCTTCATCTACAGTAGTTGTGGGCTTAACCACACGCAAATCCTTTCTATGCGTCATAAAATCGCCAACTACATGAATTCCATTCTTTTCCTGCAGATTATCAGGTAAACCAGACGCAATTCTGCTCATCACAACAAGTGATCCAATTCTGGCCAAAGACACAAATTAAGCTACATTTTCAAAATTTCAACCGTTTGAATTCGATTTGATCAAACACCTTCAATTACAAATTCTAATCAAAATTACTCAGATGACATTCGGAGAACGGAGTAGATCAGAAGAAAATACCGGTACGGAATTAGACGTCAAGGCGGCCCTGGCGGCGACATTGAAGGACCTCCGGAGCCCCAAAGCGCGACACGTGGCGACGGAGATTGAGAAGAGGCGTCGGTCTGGACGGCATAGCAGCAGGCACGGCAGCCGATTAGCCGGAGAAGAAACGGAAGCTGTGGAATTAGGCAGGAGTGAAGGTTCTGGAACGAAAATCGAGGCCATGGCTGTGTCTAGTGGTGCTGGCAAGCAATTGTTTTTTTGGTTTTGGTTATCAGCTGCGCGGCCTGCAATGTAACCGCCCTGTGATCGAGACCGCGCTAGCTGTTAAATACTAACGGATTTAAAAACTAATTTGACTGAGCTGACTAGGTTGCTACGTGGCACTCTAGGGTTTCAGGGTGGGCCAGATAGGCGATCTTACGGTGGAAATTGCGTTATCAGTTGTGATTAGGTTTGGCATCACTCAGCATATGCAAAAGCGTCCTTAGAGCAGTTCCACCGCCAGGGGCTAGCCCAAGAAGGAGGGGGCCCTAGGCCCGGAAGGAGACTCCAATGTATAAGATCCAGTCCGGGCAAGGCGTGGGACTCACGAGCTATGGCAAGCTCATGGGGAGATCTGGCCCCTCTCCTTGCCTTTGGGCTGCTGATTCCAGGCGTTAACAGTAAAAAAAAAATTTTGGATTTCTTACGCTAACGCCAACCTGACGTTAGCCCTGACCCACAGCTGCCAGAAACCAACGGCTACAAGCCATGTGGCTTCACCTAGAGCCTCCGATCCAAAAAATTTCTCAAATCCAACGACTGTCCATTTTTTGGATAAAAAAAATTCGAAAAATTTGTAAAAAATCTCAAAAAACTATGGAAATTTTTTCTATAAATACCTACTAATATTATTCATTTTCCACACCAAATCCTCATATAAATTAATCTCCTTCCAATATTTTTCACTTTCCACACAAAATTTACTACTAAATTTCATTTGTGAAAAAATACAAATGGTCTCTTTTATCGAAGCCAGAGGCGCGTGGACAACTGTGGAAGATATTTTATTGTGTGAGTCTTCGGTTAAAGTTGGTCATTGTCAGATCACGGGCAATGAGATGAAATCCTCTCATATGTGGAGAAAAATTCATGGAGAATTTTGTGAAAGATCGGGTTCGGCTCGTACGGAAATGGTCTTTGCTAGTATGTGGAAAATTTTGAATAAAGAGTTAGGGAAATGGAGAGATGCGTTGGCAAAAATGAGGGAGAACATCCGAAATGGTCAAAATCTTGGCAACGAGGTAAAATATTTCTAAATGTTGTTTTATTTAATTTAATGTCATAATTTTTTATATTTTCTTGCATTTCCAATTTTTTAATAGATTATTCAAGCACAAATGTAGTTTGGTGCCATTAGTCAAGGCAAAAAAAAGTTTCTTCAATCACCAATGTTGGGACGTTGTGAAGAATTGTTTGAGATTCAAAATTATTTCCACTAGTCTGACAGTTGTGTTTAATGAGATGCTGCTCCACGACTCACCGACAACTAATTTGCCATTAGACTCCCCAATGGATCAAGATTCACCAATCCGACATGAGTCAAGGCTTATTGGGAGAAAGACAGCAAATGCCAAGAGAGAGAGTACTTTGAACACTGAATGTGCACAATTTTTGGCGCAAATTGCTAAGAACAGCGCACTGAGAATTGAGAGAGACTTGAAAATAGAAGAAGTTAACAATGAACGATATGAAGCATATGCAATTGAAAAGCAGCAGACACAACAACAAGACATGGAGGACTGAGAGATGAAAATCATGGTCATGGATACGAGCCATATGTCTCATAAAACAAAGTCCTATTGGAAGCTAAAATGAAGAGATGTTATAAGAAGAAAGCTTTTCCATGACAATGGACCTAGCAACACGGATTGGTTAAATGATCAAAACATGTCACGGCCCGATTTGAAAATAAAGAATTTTCCCCGAATCATGGTGTGAGTCATACCATAGTAATAAGAATAAAATCTCACATCCATGATATGATGAGAAATAGAGCCACAAATAATACAAATTTACTTAACAACACAAAATCAGAGTCGCAGTAACTTGTAATTAAATATACACTAAGATCTTCTTCAGCACATCTGTGCCTGATTTCTTCATATTCTCGTTGTTGTCTCTCCAACACCCTCCTTAGGTTAGGCCATCCCCAGTGGAGGTCTTAAATTGGGCTCTACCTTCTTGGGGCTCGTAAATATATAGCTCAAGTGCAAAAAGGCATCCCCAATGAAATAATTTTTGGGCTCTATATCATAAAACTGGCCGAAGATAATGCTAAATATGTGGACTTGTATAGAGCCTTAGAGCCCCACATTTTGAAAACTGAACTTGCAAAAGCATGAAAAACTAGGGGGCTCTACATATTGAAAAGCATTAAAAATTACTTTTTCTATTGCAACTGTCCTTTTTTTCCCCTTAAGTTTATTGTTTCAATTTTTTTTCCTCTTTGCTTTTTTTTTTTTTCCTTTCATGGACATACTTCAATTGTTCTATGTTTCTAGATTTAAATATGCTTCCTTTTTTTAAGTACAAATTTGAAACATTAGGACTTTGTATTTTATTGTGTTTACTTTCAAAATTTTTCTTTTTAATCTTTTCCAAATTTTGATTTTTTTGGTAGAAATGCTCGTAAAAAAAAAACTAATATAACATAAACATACATTAAAACAAAATAAGTTAACAAGAACAAAATTAATGTGTAGAATAAATTACATCATAAAAAATATATATATACTTATAGAGCCCCCCATTGTGAGAAAGATACCTTTAAAGCTTGTAATATTTCATCGGAACTCTAAATAGGGCTCTATCCACCATAATTAGAGACTCAACCATTGGGGATGGCCTTAGACATTGAGAGTAGAATGTGTTTTGTAAAATCTGAGAAATGAAAAGATAGAGAAGATATGGCGTGAGAGGTCTGAGTTGATGGTGCAGTTTTATAGAGGGATTTATAGGATATAGATGACGCGTGGCGTAATTTTAGAGGGTGAAAATCTAATTTGAAATCTGATATTAGAATTTTATAATAAATATTGACACATGGCAACCGAGAATCTTATCTAAAATTTGAGATCTGAATGTTATAATAAATATGGACATGTAGCAACCGAAAATTTAATTTGAAAATTTAATCCTAAAATTTAATTCGAAAATCTTATCCAAAAATGTTATCTGAAATTTTATATGATAATTTTATAATAAATAGTGACACATGGCAACCAAAAATTCTATCAAAATTAATCATTTAAGTATTAAAAAAAATAGAAAATAAATTAAATTGAATAGTAATTACCCTTACCCTTGCCCATATAAGTGGAAACAAAATATGCAATGGTTGCCACTATTCATGTGAATAGTGACAGCTCTTGCCTTGCCCTTGCCTTTGGGATGGAAGTACTCTTATAGAAGAGGGTGAGGCACTGTGTAATGGTGTTTGTTTTGGAATATACTAATGTTAACGCGCGATTGACAATAGCATAACTTTTTACCCATTTCATTTAATTTTTTAATCAATTTTATCTATTGGCTTATTTGTTGCAATCATGTCAATCACATTTAGGGCTTGTTTGTGAGTGAATTTAGATATGCTAAAATCACTTTCGGGGAGAAGCACCTCCCATGTAGGTGCTTCTTCATATAATCACTTTTGGTAATTTTAAGTGATTCTAGGAATATGTTTCTCCATAAAATCACTTAAAATCATAAAGTGATTCTCCATAAAAGTGATTATTAACGTATCCAGAATCACTCTCAAACAAGTCTCTGCATTTGAGGATAAAAGAATTAATCATTATTTTCTTTTTCTTTTTATGATTTGCATTTTCGATGGACATGAATTTGTTTATACTGTGTTGGAAATATGAAGTCAACATAAAAGTGTAAATGTAATCTAGGTTATGCACTTATTTTATTTCTTGAGTTTTAATCTAAAGACTCCAAATGGAAAGTAAGCGCAAACATGACTAGAATAATCGCTTTTTAAAATATCATCTTTTTAAAATTATTCTAAATTAATCTAATCGCCGAAAAGATAGACCTGAACTACTTTAATAAGCCTAACAATGGCGTCAAGGTAACATAATAAAGCCTAGGAAGAACAACGGATAAAGCCTAGGAAGAACAATGGACCCCCGCAGCTCATCATATTACTCTTTTGTTTGGTTACACAACTCATTTGCTCGTATGAATCAAGTAGGGAGGGCCAAAGGTGCAATCTTGAATCATACGCTTACAAATTTTAACTAAAAGAACAAAATAAATAAAAAAGCATCTAGGCTTAAAACTGAGAGTGCCAATAATGGCCATGTGAAAAAAGCCTCTTTTAGCTTCACGACAAACGCTCTTCTTCAGTGTTCACGGCCCCCCTTAATATTTCCCCTTTCCCTTTTTCATAACAAGAATGATCATATAAAACAAACAACCCCAAGCTTAAATCTCTGGCCTTTCTCTATTATTGAGATGGGAGGTTGTTTGTTGCCCTTGTCTGTACAAAATCCCTGCCATTTGATATACATATATATCACAAGCGATATTGGGAAAGGGAATTTTTTTTATATAAGTTATTATTATTTTTTTGTCACGCCATGGAGATTTGAATATGAAACCCGTTGGCATCCTGCAATTTAATTAGTTGAGTTTCACATATCAAAGTTTATTTCTAATCACAAAATATTTTCAGCATGCTAATGTAATGGTTTCAAGGTTTTGGTAAATTGGGGTCACATGATGAATTGGGACCGTACTTTTTTGAAGTTAGACAACTAAGAGATTGAGCACAAAGACCATTATAAATAGAAACTTGTAGCATATGGTATGTTGTAATTGGACAAAACATGTTACTCATTGTGTCACGTGACAAATTAATCTCTATTGAAGTAGTAAACTAGTAGTGCATGCGTTAGACGTATTGTAAGATCATACTAAATATTTCCAAGATATAAAATTATGCAAGAGATGATTGTCCTAATTACCCCATCAAATTCGAACTTTCATTGTCACATTAAATGTGTCACGCATGCCAATTAGGGGTGGACATGAGTTGGATTGAGTAGGTTTTGGTCTTAATTCATAACCCACTTCATATATAGTGGTTTATGATTTATTGGACCCAAAATCCTCTCATTATTATGCTAACCCAACCCTTTTGTGAGCGGATTAGGCTGTTTGGTCGAATTAACTCAAAATTAAGTCCAGTTTTAAGTTTTGGTTCCAACTCGTATATAGCGGTTTATGATTTCTTAGATCAAATACCAGCTTATTATTAGGTCAACTCAACCCAACCCCATCAAATCCAATACCAACTTATTATTGGAATAAAATACACTTTTAATCGGATG